CGGGAGAGGGGGAAGATCCGCCAGCCCTCCGTGCCCACCCACCTGCCCGCTGTAGGCGTTTCTCAGCGAGCGGCCATTGATCTCGTCGAGGATGTCGCCGGCCAGCACCACCTCGTCCACCTCCGCCTGGCTCTCGGGGAGCACCTCGGTGACAAAGACTCGGCCGTCCACGTACCTGGGGGTGCAGCCAAGCCCCGGCTCAGCCCCAGGGACCCAGCCCGGCTCCCCCAGGCCTTTCGTACCATCAGCGATGTTTCATCAATACACGGAGACAGGGAAAAGCCACCCCACGGACAGCAGATACCAGCGACGCTGAGCCGATTGGGAGAAAAGCACCTGAGACAGCCCCGATGCTCTCAACATGGTATTTATCTTCCCTTTTGGGGGGGGGTTTGAATACCGTGGTGTCCAGATCCCACTGGAGAGCGGAGAGGAGGATCAAGGGCTCCTACCTGAGCACCATCCCCAGCGCCCGGCATGGGACTGTCTCATAAGTGATGCACACCTGGAAGAGAGCGGCCGGTGACAGTGGCCCTGGCAATGGCCACAGGATGCCCAAAGAGCATGACCAGGATGAGGGGGAGGATGGGGACCCCTTGCCCTGGATCATTTCTGGCACTGATGCCAAAGCAGGGCTTCAGGAGCCCAGGGAGAAGCCGGTCCCCAGTGCCCCAGGCTGGGCTGGGACCATCAATGGCTGCTTGTCCCTGTCCTCTCCTGGGATATGGCTGTGCCTAGACCCTGGAGGGACAAACCTGCTAGATGGATGGGATGGCAATGCAGCAGGTGAACCCTTAACTCAGCGCTGAGCCCTCCTCCCTCGCCCTACGTGTCCCCACGCAGCCGGGGGAGCACTGCCGCCCCTCCCCAAAGCCGCTGCCATTTGCAGCAGCACTTACTGTCACATTGCATTAGCCAGGGACCCGAAATGTGGCCAGTTCGGCTGGGAGCACTTGCTGTTAGAAATGCCCAAAAGCCAGTCTGATCCCAGCCTCCACAGCAGCGCCGTGGCTTGGCACACGCCGTGACCAGCCCCAAAGCCGCCTTGAGCTTTTTTGGGGATTCTTTTGGGTTAAAAAGGCAGCGGAGGGATGCTCTTCATTTTTAAAAGACATCAAGGCATCCCCACTGTTCTCAATAAATGCACTGATATTTCACTAAGCAAAACCAAGGGCGAAATCAACTGATGCGTCATCTGTGTCAGCCCAGGGAAATGGGGATTTTTTGGCAAGAAATCGGGGAAGGGAGCATGGGAAAACTTCATTTATGTCAGCAATTTAGGCCTGGGTGTACTACTCTTGCTTGGTTTTACTCCCAGGAATGCTGGGATCCGCTCCTGGTGACAGCGCGGGCATCTGGCAGGATCCGACCTCGGTGGCAGAGACGGCTCTGCTCGTGCTGGTGAACCTGAGCCAATTCACCCCCGGCTGCAGCCGGGCAGAGAGGTGCGTGGCAATCCCTCCCCACCAAATCATTCCTTATCTTCCTCATTTGACTTTTCAGCAAGGGCCAGGCGGTGGAAAGACGGCTCCGGGGAGAGACGAGCTCTTACCGGCAGCAGCCAGCTTTCGTCCAAGAAGCTCAATTCTGCAAACAAAGGCCCGTCAGCGCCATCGGCCCCGGCGAGGAAGGGGCTGGGGCCCCGCGCCGGCAGCCGTGTGCCGGCCACCACCCCGCCGATTCATCACCGTACCTGCAGGTCCAGGGAGAAATCCATCTCTGTCACCACCAGCAGCAGCGAGAGGAAAGGCTCTGCAGAGGGACGGGGACGGAGAAGCAGCGTCACCGCCGGGCTCCCAGCAGCCACAGCCTCGCGGGGACATGGCAGAGGTCCGAATAAAGCCATTTTTGGTGTAACTAATGAGCCCTGGGGAGCGAGGCCCTGAGAGCACCCCAGCACCGCGGCACCCAGGCTGCTGCTGGAGGCTCGTCCCAGGCTCCCGCTGCTGGCACGGGGAGAGAAGCGCTGCGACTCAACACCTGATTTCCCCAAATTCAGACCAAGGCTCGCAGCAAACACTGCTGACGAGCAACTTTCTCTCCATTTCTCCCCCTAAATGCAAAGCAAAGCCGCCCAGGCTCTCCTGCGTGAGCCTTGCAATTACACTGACAGAGATCTGCAATCTGTTCATGCACCAGCAGCGCGGGTGATTTATAAGCCGTCTAGATACAGGTTTAACATGGGGTTCTTTATCATAATCAAAACATTAAAGGCTTTCACCCTGGCCTGGCCCCACCGAGGAGCACGGCTGCGGATGGAGTGGTGCAGCCTGTCAAGGCAATGCAGCCATTTACTGCACCGAACCCCCCGTGTGACCCCTCGTGCAGGACCGCAGGCTGGGCCCAGCCGCCAAGGGCTCCCCTCGAAGCCGGACTGCTCGGTCCGCTTAAACCTGCATCCTTCATACAAAGAAATAACACGGAAGACACTTCAGAAGCAATTTTCCTACCCCATGACACTAAAACCAACCTTAGATGGATTCAAACTGTGTTTAAATATTTACACCTCTTTTCCCACCACTGCAGCAGCATATTTAGATTTTACCGCTAAGTTTGGCTTAGAAAAATCACAGTGGACTATTTCCCCCCCCACCCCAGCAGCATGGTGCTGTAATGCCTGCGACAGCCACCCCGGGGCAGGTTACATCCCGCCTCGGAGGGGCCACCGTCTTACCCAGGAGGCCTTCCTTGCCGAGGATGGAGCTCACAGGATCGG